CCCCCCCCCCCCCTGGTGTAGGGTAAGGTGCCCCAGACACCTAATAACTCTCATTTGGTCTCAGACTGAGCCTGCCCTCTCCGTGGCCCTCATGGCTGGTGGAGAGGAGTGCTCTCCTGGGGCTTCCCTGCCACTGTTGAGACCCCCAACCCTGGCCAAGACTCCTGACCCCAGTGACCTGGCCCTGGCCTCCTTCCCTGCCCCAGCCTTGAGCTGTCCCTGCAGCCATAGCTGGTTGGGTGGCAGGCCCCCAGCCCTGGGCGGCTGCCCACAGCCCGGCCCCTGGCTCAGAGGGGGGAAAACACGGCTGAAGAAGGGCGGGATGTCACTTTCCCTCATTCATTTGTCTTGGAGGCTGACACGGGAGAAAACCCCAAAGGACCAAGTGCACCCTCACAGTTTCACCACAAGTATCCTGACCGGGCATCTGGTACCAAGCTGATAGTGCAGGCCCCGGCCGCAGCCCTGCCGGAAACCGCGCTGCCAGCGGTTGGGGGCCGCAGGCCCAGACAGGAAACGCCCCCAAGCGTACCCCAGGGCCCATGGCCTCCGCACAGGCCTGCTGCCTTGGACCTGGCCCTGGCGCCATTTTGAAGCTGGGCTGGACTCTCGGACTCTGGCGTGAGACCTGCTGACTCGTCTGTCACCTGCCTGGACGGGCTTGGAAGATGACAGAGAGGGAAGAGGGAACCTTCAAATGGGGCTGGACGTGAACCAGAGCCTCTCCCCTCCTGTGGCCAGTCCTTCCATGGTGCCTCCAACCCAGCCCTCTAAATTCCCAACCTCCTTCAGGTGACTGGTTCTGTGTTTTCTGTGGCAGGCCCAGAAGGAAATGCAGGGACCGGGCATGAGAAAAAACAGAATGGGGGCATAGTCAAGAGGAGTAATAATGGGGCCTGAAGCATTTGCATGTGGGGGGTGGTGGAAAGGAGCCCATTTAAATGCTGAGAGAAGGAAAGAGGTCATGGGGAGGGAAAGGTTGCAGATCTAGGAGAGAGGGAGCCTGAAGAGCAGGACTGGATGGGACTGAGGGCCGAAGGGGGAGACCTCGGGGAGATCTCTGAGCCGTTGGCTGTGCCTCCCACCAGCGCCCTCTGAGGCCTGGGCCGCCTTCCCTATTTCCCCTGGGAATTTGGCATTGCTCTCTGAGGTGCTTGCCTCCCTAGACTGGGAGCTCATTCTGAGCAGAGTCAAGTGTCACACCCGATGCCTCTGATTCACTTGACACATAGCTTTACTGTGTGTCAGACACTGTGCCTGAAAGACACCAGGGACATTGCACGTAGGACACAGTCTTGTGTGACTTTTAGTTTTTACTTATTTTTTAATATTTTTTTTTTGGTGGGCGGAGGGGCAGAGAGACAGGGGGACAGAGGATCCGAAGTAGGCTCTGTGCTGACAGCAGACAGGCTGATGGGGGCCTTGAACTCCTGAATGGTGAGGTCATGACCTGAGCCAAAGTTGGATGCTTAACTGAGCGAGCCGCCCAGTCGTCCCGCGTATGACTTTCAGAAAGAAACTAGAAAGGCGTTCCTGGGTGGCTCAGTCGGTTAAGCGTCTGACTTCGGCTCAGGTCATGATCTTGCGGTTCGTGGTTCGAGCCCCGCATTGGGCTCTGTGGCAACAGCTCGGAGCCTGGAGCCTGCTTCGGATTCTGTGTCTCCCTGTCCCTCTGCCACTGCCCTTCTTGGGTTCTGTCTCTTTCTCTCAAAAATATATAAACATTAATAAAAAAAATAAACTAGAAAAATGTTGGCAGGTAGTGATGGATGTTTTGAGGGACAAAATAGCGTGCAGTGACGACTGGATTTAGTCTGAAGGGCCGGGAGGCATCCCTGGGAGGAGACCGCTGAACCGAGAGCTCTGGAGGGTGGCATGGCAGAGTGTTGACTGGAAGGCTGAGTGAACACCCCAAGTCCCACCACCTCACCCCTCCCTGCCCTGCCCCGTCCCAGCTGGGCCCTGGTGGCTGCAGAAATTCCTGCCTCCAAGTCAGGTATCATGGCACCCCTTTTCTCCAGGGCAGCCCAGATCCTTAGCTCCTGGCTCCCTGCTCCCTGCCCTTGAGGCCCGGGTGTTGATGCCCTCGGCCATCATTGTCTTGGTGCCCCAGGCCGGGCTCCTGACTGGGCGTGTGACCCACTCCAGACCCAGGGCTTATCCTGTCCTCTGAGCCTCACCTTGCTCATCTGGAGATCGGGGACCATATGGTTGGAGGTCTGTAAGGACCAAGTGACATGGCACAAGTGAAACCCTTCTTGAGCGGTGGGTTAAGAAATGGGAGTCTCTCCTCAACAGTTGCTGGAATGATCAGCCTAACACTTTTGTCTGAAGAGCTTAGCTATTTACAAAGTGCCTTTATGAGCATGCATTGCTCATTGGTTCAGGTGCAGACGGGGGTCCCTGAGCATGGGAGCCTGGGTCCCAGCTCCCTCTCCCCTTTGAGACTCAAGTCGTCTTGCACAATGATGGGTGTTCGAGGGCCCTCCTACCATGGACACCTGATGCTGGGGCCAGCCAGGCAGGGAGGAGCCTCCACTGAGGAGAGAGTCACAGAGCTTTCTTTCCCCATTCCAGCTTCTTCCCAGTGCTGGGCTGGGCTCTTAAGGAGAGAGGCTGAGCCTGGTCTTCTGAGGCAGGACCCGTCTTGGCTCCTGGTTGCCTTGTGAGCGAGCTCTGGAGGCACCGTGAGCAGAGCAGATCCTTCCTGAGCCTCCGCATGACCTGCACTAGCAGGGTGGGGGCTTTCTCTCCATCTCTGTCTCCCGTGTACCCTCATGGGGGGCAGAGAAGGCACACAGCCTCGGGCGTGCGGCCATCCAGCACCTGGGAGCACCCGCCCACCCCGCCATGGTTCTCACCGAGACTCGCAGACCGACACGCACACCCGCTGCTGGGCTGGGTCGAGGGTGTCAGATGTTCACGGGGCGTGCATCGTGTGCTAGGTGGGGAGTGGGCAAAGTCTCCGCCCTTATGGACCTTAGAAGGCCAAGTCGCGGTCATAATGACCGCTGACACTCAGGGCACGCACCTGTCCACCTTTGTTAACCCTGAGTCACTCTGTCGATGGGCGCTGTTGCCTCACTTTGCAGCCCCGGGGCTGGCACAGGCAGACCTGGCATTCTAGGCCTTTTCTCACCCACAGACTCTCTCCTCCAGGCAAGCAGGCTGCTCCAGGGCACCCTCATGAGCAGAAACACTTCTTTGCACCCTCAGGCCTGCTGCGTGGGGCTCTCCACGCACCCTCCCATCACACAGCTATTCCACACCCCCTCCTCCATCCTGACTCACATGGGCTTCTCTTCGGAGGGCATCTTTCTGTTTACTTATTCTCAGAAGCTGCTTTTGCGGCTCTGACCCATCCCCCTTAGGGCCTGGCACAGAAGCCCCCAGGCCTGGCCACCCCCTCCACCAGGCTGAGTCCAGGGCAGGCCCTGGGTTTTGTGCCGAGCACAAGGCCTGCAGTAGAAGTGGGTCTTTGTGCTTAGGGGGTGTTGAGGGACACTACACAAAGGCACAGCCTCTCACCCACAGAGCCCTTCCAGAGAGCCCAGTTTCCCCCTTATGAGGCCTGGTCACTGGAGCAGGAAGCTCAGAGCCAGGAGGGAACTGGGCAGGAGATGACCTGGGCCCCTGGAGACCCAGGTGAGGGACTCCAGCAGCATGGCGGGCGGGGGGGGGGATGTTGTCAGGGATGGAGACTGGGTCCTGAGGAGGAGACCTGTTTGAATTTGGGAGAGCTAGAGAGGGCGATTGGGGGTGTGATGACTGGGACAGGGTATCTGTGCACACCCGAGGCGCAGGAGGGGAAGAGGCAGCTCCAGGAAAGTGTTCTGCCATGCTGTGACCCGTGTGTGTGTGTGTGTGTGTGTGTGTGTGTGTGTGTGTGCGCGTGCACGTGCGCATGCTTGCGTATGTGTGTGTGGTGGTGGGAGGCAGCCCTGGGACAGCTGGAAGAGGGTGGAACCAGATCTGCCCGGAATCACTTGGTTCTGGGAGTCACTTAACTTTTCCACCCGAATAGTGGGCCAAATGATGTTACAGGATGAAAAACACGTAAGTAAACATCCCAGCACAAAGAACGTGTGTGCCTAACACATAGCAGTTGCAATTTGTATGCGCGCGCGCGTGTGTTTGTGTGTGAGTGTGTGTGAGAGAGAGAGGGGGAGAGGATTTGGGGGCCCTTTTAGGGCTTGTGAATTGCAGGTCCTGGCAGAGCTGGTCTTGAGGGCCCCATCCCAATGTGGCTGTCCTGTGATTCTAGGGGCGCTGCCCATCTGTTACCCAGGACCCACAGTCACCTGCTCTCCTGCCCGCCGGACTCCCATCTGTTAGACATGGACACGGGTACTTAGTCCTTAACCATGGTCTGATAGGTTAGATTCTGGGCTGGGCGTTCTGTTATTAATCCCTACTTGTTCTTTTTCTCAGATTGGGACACACTGCCTCTGTCCTCGAAGTACCTTCATCCTGACCCCTCTTCCCCTCTTCTGTCCCCGTAGACAGCCCCACTGTGTAGAGTGCGTGTCCTCAGATGTGGGGGTGTGTCCTGGGAAGGCATCTGGTATGTTTTCATGCGGATGTGTCCACTTGGCTCTAGATCATACTCTGATTCTTACTGACCGTACTTGGCTCAGTTTTGGGGGTCTGCCCGTGTTGCTCTGTGTGCATCCACAACGTTCTATCCCAGATTATTGCACTGTGCGTCCTCCACCCCTCAACCGTCTACCCCCAGTGATGGGTGCCACACCCCCCCCATGTCCCACCCTCGAATCCCCAGTGATGGACCCCCACACCCCCGTCTTCCCTCTGTCCCAAAGGAGGCTTCAGGGAGTAGACCTGGCCAAAGGAGCTGGGGTGGGAGGACTGGTGGGTCACACAGGCTTGGCAAGGTGGTCACCAGCGTGCACCGCCCTCCCCCGCGGTGGTGTCACCCTGCTTTGCTGACTTCGGCTGGGGTTCTGTTTCGTCCCTACAGCAAATCTGGCAAGTGGGGGCGATTTCTTCCCATTTACAGTGAGGACTGGAAGCCAGAGACGAGTGATTCTTCTGGGGCCAAACAGCCATCGGGCAAGTCTGGTTGCAGAATGGTGGTTACATCGTGCCACGCACACGGCAGCGGGGCTGTGCCCGGCCTGGGGCAAGATGGGAGCCCTGATCTTAAGCTCCAATCCTCTCTGAGGTATCTGTGCCCCCAGAGCGCAGCCTGGAAAGGAGGTACTAGGCAGTGCGGTTCCCTGGGAGAGATGGGACATAATGACTCAGAGGGCGGGTCTGGAGGGTCTGCCAGGTGGGGCAGCTTGGAGTCTCACAGCCCCCCAACATGTAATCTCACAAAATCAGGGCTGCTTCCAAACGCCAGGCTTTCCATTCACGATTCCGTGTAGTCCGATGGAATCCCTTCATTCGATGTACATTCTCTTTGGGTTTTTTTTTAGAGTATCTTTTACTTAAGCCAGTGAAATGGTAGATTACAAATTTTCATTACAGCTAGTTGAGACCATGAGACAGACCATGAGCAGGGAGGTGACCTCTGGGCAGGCCCTTGGGGTGGACTGCTGGCTTTGCCACTTCCGAGCGTGACTGGGTAAGGTACTCTGGTGCCCTGAGCCTCGAATTTCCCATCCATAAAATGGGGCAATAGTAATTCCTAACTTGGAGAGCCGTCGTTGGTGTGAGGCTCAAATGACCGGGCAGGGGCTGGGCGGGTGCTGGCCCACAGGGGGCATGAGGTGGGTCTGTTGTCCCTGTAGGAACACAGACTACAGGACCGGAGTGTGTGACACAGGGTG